TTTGATATTATTTGTGGCTATAGAGGCGCTATTTTGCTGATCGTATTGAAACAGCATTACATGCCGAATATCTGTCTCGGCGTGTGCATCACTATAAGGTATTACAGTACACTCAACTGTACACATTATATAGCCTAAACTAACGTGACGTTTAGGCGGTTCGTTTAACTATTATACGCGATGTACGTTTTTTCGGTGGTGGTTAATGAAAGTGTTCCAAAATGTGACATTAATCTCTAGACGACCTAATAGTTTAGTTTCAGTATTATGCTCTTTAAACTTTTTTTAATCTGCCAATTACTCGATAATGTGTAGCTTAACCCAACTCCGAGTTTCGATACCCGGTGGGCAGAGCACAGATAACCCCTTTGTAGCTTTGTGCATAACTACAAACAATAAACCTAAGTTTGTTAATTTGTTTTATAGAGATTTGTTATTTAACGTTTTCTCAGCAAACTGAATTGAATTATCTAAACTTAAATTATTTCGTTTCCGATTTCCAGATCCCCGAACCAGCGAATGGCCGCTTTTAGGATCACCTTTTCCAATACTGACACTGATCGTTTTATACGTTTACTTTGTTCTGTCCAACAATTGCCATTAATTTGTAATTGTCTCGTTTTTATCTCTCGTAAAGTTGATTTAACTTTCATATAACCACAAAATATGTATGGTAATTCGTGATCTGTTATTGTGGCATTAATCCCCCCCCCCTTTTTTTTTCACGTATACTCCCTGACTATGAAATACGGATATTCCAGAATCGTGATGATACTTTAACGGTTTTTACAAATATATTGTTCGTTCCATTAGTTCCAGTATTTGTGCTTGTGACTAAGGATCTGGAATGTTGTGTCCAACTCACAACTATGTCTTAGAGTTTATGGATTTAGTATTTACACCACCTACCATTTTCTTCTGCAGGGTGGAAGCTTGTCGTATCTCTCTGGGAAGTTCAACTGGGTGTGTGAACCCATCAGTTATGCAACGGATCCAGAAACAATGACGGTAAGGCGAAAAAACAGAGTTGTATGATAATGGCGCGAAACGTTTTGTAGAGAAAAGTATTGATAGAACGTTAAATAATGTATGTTTAAACAGTACCCAAATGACAAGGTATTATATAATTATATATATGAAACAAATGTCGAATGACTTATTTACCTTATAAAAGATGAAATAAGCCTTTTGAATGTAAGCGTAAATATTGTTAGAACATTAATCAATATTTCCTCCAATAGCTCAGTGGTAAGTCTGAAGGGTTATAACACTAAAAACTAGCTTTCGATACTCGAGGTGAACAAAGCACAGATAGTCCATTGTGCAGCTATGTAATTAACACCAAACAAAGAAACAAAATTAATTGTAGCAACACTTCAACAAGGAATCTGAGGCAGTTTGGACATTGTATGATAGAAAATATAGTTTTTGTTTATAGTGTCTTCATAAGACGTTTAAACTGACAGGGTGCTCGGTACGGTGACAAAACATATATCATTAAGACCTCTCAAGCGATTAGATAAAGAAAACAGAATAATATTTTACAAATATAAAAGTAGTTGCAAATATTTGCCCTGAATTACAATTATAAAAACGGCAAAAACTATATCTCAGAGTTGAAATGTACCTGAATTGTGCAAAGCAAACACATAATACAAAGTTTAATATAGAGAGAGAGAGAGAAGGAGAACGGTAATATATTAATATTATTCCAGAAAGATAAGAAAGGTAGAATGTTGTTATGCATTAAAAAGTAAACAATGTATAAATAGAACACTGAGACGTCTATATATGTTATGGAAATGTAAAATATGTAACATGTATAGAAAATGGTGTTACAGCGAGAAATACAATTATGCATTAAAAAGTAAACAATGTATAAATAGAACACTGAGACGTCTATATATGTTATGGAAATGTAAAATATGTAACATGTATAGAAAATGGTGTTACAGCGAGAAATACAATTATGCATTAAAAAGTAAACAATGTATAAATAGAACACTGAGACGTCTATATATGTTATGGAAATGTAAAATATGTAACATGTATAGAAAATGGTGTTACAGCGAGAAATACAATACTGCGAGTATAAAGAGAACAGTAATATGTTGTTACACAAAAAAAATACAAATATACAAATTAAACTAAAGAATATTTTTAAATAATGGCATCTAACGATATTTCCCCCCAAAAAACTAGGGTAACGTAGTGTTTGTTATAAATAAAGATAATATACGTACCGAGCAATCGAATGCTACAAATATTTTATATTTAGGGAGAATAAGTTATATAATAAGTAAAGTTATTGTACGAAAAAAAGGTTATCTATATACTCTGTTGTAAAAAAATAAGGACCAGGTATCTTCAGTAGTACACTAGGGGTACAAACTTGCTAGATTTGTGTTTTAAAATTTATCATTAAACTTCTTTTCTTCCTTGTAGTTAGTAAGACTGGGCTGGTGGTACCTTCTTTTGAAAATAGCCGAGTTTCTGGACACTGTAAGTATCAATAATACAGGAAATTTACGAATGAAAATTTCCATAATAACGAAGAAAATATGATTTAAAAAGATCTCCTTATCAGTAGAAAAGTAACGCGTTAGTATATAGTAAGTTACACATACACAGAACTCTTTGATTTAAATAATAAATTATAATCGAGTCTATAGTGTTGGCTACAGGAAGTTTTGCCTGTCAGTTACAGTTTGTGTTTTAGGGGAACGCTTCTGAAGAACCTGTAAAGCGAAACGCTGAGTGTCCAATTAAATGAAAACAACAGATTGGTGTTATAAGGTTTTTTATTTCTAGTATTAAAATATTTTCTACACACCAGTATGCACTATAGAATTTAGTAATTGTTGTAAAATGATATATATATATAAAATAAGGATGCGATACATTAAGATATGAGCAGCTTAAATTGGTCGATATATATATATATATATACGGAAAGTTTTGTTAGCTGTGGCCTATAATACGGATAAGTAATTAATATTAGCTTCCAATCAGAGCAAGTTATGTAATAAGAGTGAAACTAGAAATGAACATGGCTAATTAAATATATTTTTTCTTATGTTCCTATTTATAAAGGTTAGAATGCATTGTTTCATCAGTTAACAATATTTTCAACTATATCTCGATAATACGACATGATATTTAGCCAGTTTAAAAAATTAGGTTAGTCCTAAATACATATATTAAACTAACAACGAAAAACAATCTCTATAATAAAATTATAATAATGTAAATAAAGTTTTAAAAAACAAACAAACGATGTATTAAATAGTCTAATCATCACTGTTAATGAAAATAACAAATAGATAATACAGCACACCTTACTTAGGGAACACAGAAACCAGCATGCTAACTTGAACTACTGTCGTAGAATTAATTTTCTTTCAAAAACGTAACGTCAGTACTTCGACTTATTTTTCTCCAGTTTTGCTAACATATCTTTTGGTCAATGAAAACACATTAACCAACTCTGACAGTATCTTTAGAGGAATGTTGTATCTGAGAGTGTGACAAATTCACGAAGACACGTGTTACTGTTTGAACTGTTTCGAGTTAGTAGCAGTAATTTACCTGTCATACTACCAACATGTAATGTTTTTGAAGATACAAAGTAATGTATAACGAACTATAAGAACGCCTTAGTTCTCCATGAAAGTGCAGCGATGTTAAATTTAATACGGAGCAAACAACATGCAATGTGGTATATCTAACAGTACCTCTGTTACGTTAACAATCTCTGACATTTAACAAACACATAGAGTTGGTTACAGGAAGTAATAAATAACGTAAAATATTCTGTGAAAGCCGAAAATGAAGCACTACAAGCCTCTAAGAAATTCAATAATAATAAAATTTAGAAAGGTTTGAATTTCGTGCAAAGCTACATGAGGGCTATCTGCGCTAACCGTCCCTAATTTAGCAGTGAAAGAATGCAGCTAGCTAGTCATCACCACCCATAGCCAACTCTTGGGCTACTCTTTTACCAACGAATAGTAGGATTAACCGTCACATTATAACACCCCCACGACTGAAATGGCGAGCCTCGGAATCGAATTCGAGATCCTCAGATTGCAAGTCAAGCGCCCTAACCACCTGGCCATGCCGGGCCGGCTTAGAAAGGAAAGTTATAATTGATGTAACTTAACTAATGATATAATGTCATAATATATACGGAAACATTAAGTAGCTATTATTAACTATATATAATAAGTACCTAAACTAACGGGAAACAAAACCATTGGTGATCAATATACTAAAGCAGTTCAAACCTTATTATCTTAAACAATTTCCAAAGGAACCAAAATGTAGATGTGAAAGTTGTTAAAATATCGTGATACTCTTTAAAACTCTTTAAAACATAATTTAACTAGCTCAAAAAGAGGCATTTACTGAGCATCTGTAGAAAGCCGAAGGGAAAACTATCGGGATAAAAAAAATCGTAACTTCACAACCTACTTCATAAAAATATACTGAAATAATAACTTATCTTCTTTAAAAAATACTGAAATAATTTTAGACGGGTCTAAGTAGTATATGCAAATGAATTATAAAGCAAAACACGAACGTAATAAATGGTTCGTATTATTACGTTCGTGTTTTGCTTTATTATTAAATTACGGTTTCTGAAAAATGAATCGATTACTAAAATAAATTATAATTCAACTTTATCATAGGCTATTTCAGTTACACCGTCTTGTTTTGACGTGAACAAGAAGTGTTAAGATTATCCTTGGTATTCATGGGTATGAACGCGCTCTTTAAAAGCATTTGATGAATTTATATTCTGTTCCTATGGCAAAACTAATACCACCCATAATTTTCAACTAATGACCAGAAGGAAGGCAGTCAGTCAGTAATACTCCACCACCCATCATCCAAGCTAAAAAATTGACTGTCAACTCTTGAAAAGAGTGCTAGGAATATTTTATGACGTAGTGTAGACTCGAACCTGGTTTAACGGCAGCGAGATTCAGAGCTCTGCCACAGGACCGCACTCTACATTTTGGTGTGAATGCGCAGCTAGATGAAATAGAGCGCATATCCCTAGCCTTGATTTTTCTTATTTCAAACACTTAAAAAATACATTTATATTCATAATGATTCCTCCACTTCTTGAAAGTTAAAATTATAAAGACTGAAACAATTCATGGGTGAAAATTGGCGAAGAACAAGTTACTGAACAAATTACTGGTGCAGAAAGGAACTGAGTTTTTCTTCACGGGCATTAAAATAAATCTTAATATTTTTTTTGTCCTTTAATAGAAGATCGACACAGACAAATTGGAAGTTTATGTATCGAATAATGATCTGTTGTAACAATAAAATGCAAATTTTCTCAAAACTTACTTATTAAACAAGTTGAAAAATAAATTTTTAAAATAGCTTCTCCAAAAATCTAAAAATGGCAATTTCATATGTAAGTGAAATTAAAATCATTTTGATAAAATAAAGCTAGCAGACGCGTTGATTTTCTTATTGCTTAACTTTAATGCCCCCCAGTGGCACAGCGGGATGTCTGCGGACTTACAACGCTAGAATCCGGGTTTTGATACCCGTGGTGGG